GTTTGGTAAGAGAGCTTTCAAACACGGAGTTCGTCGTTTCTTATGGGAAAAGAAAGACGAATATGAAGTCTACAGAGATGAGAATGGTTATAAAAGAAGCATAGCTGGTGACATCATCCATGTTTACAAAGAAGATATTGAGAAGCTGCTAAAATGAGCCACACTGTTTGAGCGCTCTTGTTTCTGTTTACCAGAGCATGCTGAACAGTTTACTAAAGGAGTTCCAGTTTGCAAGCTCTACACACAAGCAAAGGTTACATACATGCTGAATGAAAGAACCAGTGAACATAATTGGGAGATGGCAGGATTGAGATCTGAACATGAGAAAGCAATATCATCACTTCAAGGATAACTACTATGGAATCTGTCTAGCAATGACTTCGCTCGCAAAGAAAGAAAAGCCCTGCAGGAAGAGGTGAATGCACTTCGCAAAGAATTAGAGTCTCGGAGACGGACATCGACCGATACAGACCCATCAGCATCGATCGACACGACCTTTGACCAACCTATCGAGAGTCACTTACAGAAGCTATTGATCGATGATATACCCAGCACATCGATCAATACTCGTGCACCAAAATACTGTACCCGAGAAGAACTTGAAGAAATCGCAAGGGAGATCTACAGATCTATTGAAGCCTGTGAAGACGAAGCGCATCAATCACTTGACAAATTTTGGTCCCCGGTATAGAGTGACGTTCAGTGATTGAAATGCACAACAGAGGACAATCAGATGGAGATCGAGAGCATCAAGAACCAGCTCGCCAACCAACCTGCACAATCCGCATCGATCGACGAGCCTATGAACCCATCGACCGATGGACATCCATCCACATCGATCGACAGGACTACACCGAGATCGGTCGATACCATTCTTTCCCCTGTGCAAAACACGCACAACCTCGATCCAATGCAGCTGAGTACTAATATAGAGCACACCTACAGCAACATTGGACAACATGACCGTAGTTTATCAAGCATTGAGGAATGGCTACAGAGAATCCAGTATGAGGTCCAAGGTTTGCAAGCTAGTATGACTAGACGTGAGAAAGCCACAAGAAGCTTTTTAACTTCATGGTTTGAAGAATCACAAGACAAGGAAGATACTTGTTTCCCAACAAGTAGCTGCAATCCACCTCACTAGCCACCATACCTCCATAGTCAAGCTAAATGACTTTAAATAAGCGTTGAGTGGGAGGCAACCCACTGTTAGGTATTTTCTTATTTAGTTTTATTTTATTTTTACTAATCACTTTCGTTTTTATTTATTTTTAGGAACATATTTACACGATCACTACCTCTATCGACCGATGAGACCTTGTCTACATCGCCCGACATAACCCTATCCATGAAGATCGATGGAAGTGACTCACCATCGATCGATACGAACATCGGTCAGGCATATCGTTCACAATTTCGATATCAGTTATACATTTATTATCTTTTATGCTCTAACTCCGACTAGTTATATACTGAGGACAGTGTATGATTTAAGTCTGGGGGAGTGGAATTACTGATGATACTTTACCTTTTTGATCTCTTTAAAAAGTTTTCAAAAATTGGTTTTATTGAGTCAAAAAGAGGACAAGAAGATTTCAAAAAAATTTGTTTTTTATCTTACCACTCTTTAGCACCATTCTTAGAAAATACTATAGATGCTAAAGTGGATCACCGATCATCCTATGACAACACTTTTCATGATTGTTTGGAAGAACCAAAACTGATTTCCAACCTAACATCTATTGCTTGTCTTGGGGCTTGGTATACAAGGGATCGGAATCCTCATTCAAGTCTGGAAGGTAAAGTCTCAACAATTTTGGTTTCTTTCTATCCTTCCTTTGGCATCCCATAAAGAGAAAAATAAAAGATTGAGATGATTTCCTGAGAGGCAGAGGGAGAGGTACATTACCTATGACCCCACTATTCTAATTCAAAGGAATGATCACACATTGTGGAAGCGAGGGAGAGGTAAATTACCTATGATCCCACTATTCGTTTACACTTTGTTGAAAAAGGCTACAAAAAGTAGAAAGATCAATAAGATGAACATTAGTTGTTCATTGGGATTGATATAAAAGAAAAGAAAGTTTGGGATTCAGAGAAGGGAGATAAAGAGAGAAAAGGAACCAGGATGAGAATGCCTGAAACTTGTTTGAGTTGAATCCAAGTGTTCTTTGATCGATACTCCCAAGGTAAAGCCTACACCTTTATTTTATGCATAAATGAAATCAGTAGAGGGGATAAACAGACAGGATTGTTTAAGTTGATTGGCTAGATGAATTTGGTTGCTAAGCTAGGAAATGGCATAATGTACTTATGTAGTTAGTAATATGAGATGTGTCTTGCAACAAAGTAGAGGTGATGATTTTAAAGTTAAAGATTTTATTGAGTCCCTACTGCTTTTAAACTTCTTCCAAAAGACTAACTAATGGTTTGCTTGAGGACAAGCAAAAAAGGTTAAGTCTGGGGGAGTTGATATACCATGCTTTTGACCCACTTTTAGCCATGGTATTGATATGTTATTATAAGTTATATATATGTTTTGGAGTCTATTAGGTATGTTTTCAGGTTTAGGAGCATTTTGGAGTAAAGTGATGATTTAGGTGCCCTTATGGAGTTTAAAGGAGAGTTTTCCAAGATGACTATGAAGATCAGACAACAAGGATACATATCGATCGATATACACCCTGTGTAATCGATCGATGACACTTCCATAGAAGAAGTCGAGATACTCCATCGATCGATGTACACCATGTACCATCGATCGATATGAAGCGTGAAGAACAAGTCTAACTTGGCCGACTTGAAGCCCAAGTTTTCCCAATATTACAAGACTGCCCTTGATGAGTTTTTAACCTAATGGAACTCATATTTATAGTTATGCCTATGTGTTTTGGCAAGGGATGCTTTTTGAATGCTTTCTATGTTCTAAATTTTCTTGTGCTTTGTTTGCTTTTGATACTATTTTATACTTAGCAATAAAGTCTTCTTTTCATCTTAATTCTCAAAGGTTATAGAATTCTAGATTTAGAAGAAACACACAAAGAGATTTGTTGTTCCAAAGAACCAAGAGTTCAATCTTCTAATCTTATGAATTTCTATTATTACCTTGTTGTTATGAATCTCTTAGCCATGGCCATGTCTGAGTAGATTTATTTGTTAGATTTAGGGTTCAAATAGTTATGAGTGATTAGCCCCAATTATGGAATGTTGAGTTGTGATATTCATTATCCAAATGAACCTTAATGCTTACTCTAGAGTAGCTAACTAGAGTATGATCATGGAGTGATTTAACTTGTTAATCATTATCCTGAAATCATTTGGCATAAGCTTAGATCCTCTAGGGATGTGCGAGAGCCGGTATATGATCTTGGTGAACACATTTTCGATTCGATCTTATGCTATATCGATCGATGCTCCTATAGAGTTATCAATCGATGGAAACCCATATCGTCTGATATCGCTGTCAAAACATCGGTCGATATTGCCGGCAATAAGATCAATGGATGAGTCTATTTAGCGACTGCTATTGGATCTGTCTAAGAATCGAAGTTCTTATATATCTTGCAAGCAACTTACTAAAACATCTGTAGCATTATAATCCTGATTATCTGAATAACAACCTTGAATATAACTACTTTCTTTTATTGTTTCAAACCAAAACCTATTCTCTTGAGCAACTTATCATTGCTCACAACTGCAATTTACTATTTTAAACTGAATCAACCTAGCATAATCACTTAGGATTACATCTTTTGTGTTCCTCAGTTCCTTGTGGATTCGATCCCTAAGTACTACAATTGAACCTCTTATTTGAGAGAGTAATTCACTACTAAGGGTTAAATACTTGAGTGATATCACAATACGGCAGCAAAAAAACTTGATGGGTCTCTTCTCTTTTTCATGAACTCGTAGTCACATTGCCATCTAGACTACCGTGTATTGCAATAACGTTGGTGCTACCTACCTCAGTGTGAACCTTGTTTTTCACTCCAGAATGAAGCACTTGGCTCTTGATTTTCACTTTATTTACGACAATGTTCAGTCAGGAGCACTTCGCGTTACCCATGCCTCTACACGAGACCAACTTGCAGATGCATGGACCTAACCATTGGCAAGATCATGGTTCAGTGAACTAATGTCCAAGATTTGAGTGATAAAACTCCCTCCATCTTGAGGGAATGGGTAGAGCATAAGTATTTAAAGGTGTTTTAGTTAATATATAATCCTTACTGTACCTCTTGTACACAATATAAATACTGGATTATTCTATCTAAAGCACACTTCAACCAATACATCTATAAAGCGTACGATTTTGGAACCAAACCAAATAGCAGTTTTCGGTTAACCAAAATTTTGAAAAATAATTCTAAAACTAACCGAATTATATTTTGGTTCGGTTTTGTTATCGGTTCATTTTGGTTGTCAATTTCATAACCGAATTTTTGTAAAAAAAAATGAAAATTTGGTATAAATCGGTTTAAATTAAATATCTTTTTGTTAAATTTGATTATCTTGGCTACATGTAATTGATTATTGGTTAACATCGTTCAACTATAAATCGGTTGAGTTTTCGTATACTTTTTTTATAAAAAATTGGTTAACTATTCGGTTCATTAAACCGAATGGGTAACCAAATTGATTTTGAAAAGCCTTCTGAACTAAACCCAACTCAAAACCAAAAGTGAACCGAGGACCGAAAATTTTGGTTCTCATTCGGGTCGGCCTTTCGGTCGGAATCCACATGCCTCGTAAAAGAAATGCAAAGTGAAGAATGACGATCACGTGTTGGAGCAATTAAATATGTTTTCTCTTTAATCAACTTCGTATTTAGTATTTACTAACTTTAAGTTTTAGTGAATTGATTTAGGAATAGTTTTTAGTTTAGGATTGGTTTAGAGAATGATTTATCTAATCAGAAAAAGACAATAAATGACTAAAGTTCGGATTATTTATTACTTCAGTGGCACGGGGGTGTAAAAGTGTTTTGTTTACTTTACAGGTTCAAATTTGGTAAGCTGACCCATGAAGTAAGACTGCCAGCCAAATCGTTGTACGAAACATCTCTAAAATAATATAAGAAAAATGATTAGCAAAACAATGATTAGAATCTACAGAATATGGTATATTCTAAAACATGTTGCTGATTATCTTGTACAAAACTTGAGTCAGTTGTAACTCACATATTGCTCAAAGTCTGGCTCTTCTGAGTGGGTAAAGAACCATTCAACGTGTTGTTTCCCAGAAACCTAATATGAAGACAACAAGGTTATTAATAGGTATCACAGATAGATACGAACATATAGACCCAAAAGAAGTAGAAAACTTACAAGTAAGTAAGTTGATTTAAGTTGAAAAGTGAAGCCGGAATTGGTCCATGTAGTTTGTTAAAGCTTAAATCACTTGAAAATAAATCACATGGTAACACACTAAGTTCAATGAATGGGGGGGGGGGGAATGAGAAATAATATTATCAGCAACGTTAAGATGGTATTCTCGCTGTGATTTTCACAAATCATGCACTCGCTTTTACAGAAAACACTTCAAAGTATGCTTACACTTGTGTCAGATTTTGAGTATTCCCCAAAATTAGAGGGTATTGTCCCAGTGAGATTGCTGTTCCTTAATACTCTGTGACACATATCATGAGTTAAATACACACAAGGAGAAGAATGGAACAGTTCAAGAATTCAGGCTGCAAGAATTGGAGTAGAATTGTTGCCTTACAATATATTTAGAGATTTCATGTCTTTAATGAATTCAAGAGAAGAGCTTCCATTGGATATATCACCAAGATTCCTACATTTAGGATATGATTACGTGGTGCAGCAATGGCGATAAAGGGAAAATTGTAAGCAAAAATAATTATGACACCAATGCAACAACACATACAGTTCGCTCAAAGAAGTTAAGTTGGAAAATGACGACGGTATCGGACCGCTCAAACCAGTTCCGAGAATTTTACTGCAGTAAAAGCATGGTAGTAATAGCATGAAATATTTTCCACCTAGCGTAAAGTAAGTATAAAATTTATATAACATGAGCAATGTTGTAACAACTGTTTCCCTTATATATTAATTAAACAACATTACAACATGTTTTCATAACTACGTCATCAAATCTTAAAAAAATAAGTTAGTACATCTAAATATATATTATATTTTTATTAAATTAATTATTAAATTAATTAATAGTGTATAAAAAATATTCTTCGTTCTTTCTTTAAATAAAAGCAACAAAATGACCGAATAGCGTTAATATATATATAATTATTAATGATTTTGAATAATATAGATTTAATAACAATTTTTGTATCTTCTATCATTTTTTATTTATTTTATATTCTTAAAAGAAATTAATTAGTCACATTAACCATAAAAAAAAGTGTTTCATATATGATGTATTTTGTATTTTTTAAATGACTATAATTATTAAGAACGTTAAAAATCACACATTGAAAATTGTGTTATCAATGCTTTAAAGTTTTCTTATAACAAGATATGACTTATTATATAATCATATGAATATGAAGTCTCATGTAATATATATTTCGATAAATATATATAGATTAATTTCTGTATCTTTTAAATTAAAATATATATCATATGTATAATACATAAACATGTTAATTTTAAAATTTGTATTGAATAGAAAGTCTCAATTAAAAAAAATATTCATATTAATAAAAATAATACTTTTACTACAGCAATATAATATCTTTAATAAAATAATATAAGTACAAAGCATCAACTAATAAATATTTATATTAAAATATATTATATATCTTTGTCAATATCATTTAATTTTAATTACATATCATATAAAATAAATAAAATGCTTATTTTGATTTTTTTTAGCAACAAGAATTATTGTAAAAAAGTGGGATTTTTTTATATATGCACTTACACCAGTTTAATTATCTAATCTATTAAAAGAGAAGTACACATTTGAAATACCCCTAACTTTTTCTAAAAAATTACCATTACATGCCACTGGTGTTAACAATACACATGAATTAATAAGTAGAGAAGGCTTTCATGGAGATTAGCAAGCCGCAAGCCCATTAACACTTAATTTTTGTTTGACTACGAACCAAATGTCTACATGAAATGGTTTAAATAATTTAGTGAACCAATGTTGTTAAGTCAAATCCCAAAATGTTGAATTAACATCTCGAACCAGGACTACTCCATAACTTTTTTTGTGGTAATGAGTTTGTTTAGTAATGTAATTGTTGAGAACCACTAAACTGGTTTACATGTATTATATGATTTTGATTCAATTTTAAAACCATTCGGTTTAGTATATATTAATTGTTAATAGACAGAATTCGAAATATATTTAATTTTTAGTTTTCAAAAATAAAATCAATTATTATAGATTTTATAATAATTTACATAAACAAGTCAACTAGATGTTCCTATAATGATTGACTAATTACTAACTTAACATAATAAACTCTTAATTTAAAGCCATCACATTAATAACAAAAAGGAGATACACTTGCTAATCATGATGTACTAGGATAACAACATTGCAAAATCTTTAGAATATTCGTAATCTTAAATTGCTTACCCTTACATTTTTTTGTCACATTGTGCTCAAAAATAAAACCTTGAATATTTTTACTAAATACTAAATATATGGAAAATATAATATTACCAAGATCACATTTATACAAAATATAAAATAAATTGGTAAACAATAATAAATATCGATTATTACAACACGGAAAATACACATGCGCGTCTACATTATGATTTTTTACATGGAAAAATACAATATTAACTAAATCACATTTATACAAAATATAAAAAAATAAGTAAATAATAATAAATATAAAATATTTCAATACATAATAATACACCCGTGCGGGCGCACGGGTCAAGACCTAGTATATATATAATAGTTACTTGCTTATCAGTTATTTAATAGATTTATTATTTTGTAATATGTAAATGAACAGAAAATAAATAATAATATGTATGCATAGTTAATGTTCAATCTGTCTAAGCACATATCTCAAATGTTATTTGATCTATCATTTTAAAAATACAACTTTCATATTAAAGTAGAATGTTGAATTATTACATTCTAATGATATCATTGAAGGCTAATGTATATATTTTTTTAAAAAAAATTAACAAATATATCCGATATTCAACAATTTTATATTGACAGTTTTGAAACTTATGCCATGATAATTGAACAATCAAAAGTAAAATTAAATGATTATTAATATATGAATTTCCATCCGCATATGTGCGCTTGTAATCACGTAATACAACTCTTTTAAACTAAAATCATTCTTACAAGATTTTAAGTTTGGTCCATGTTCCTATGAATTCCGGCATCCGACCAGTAATGTCCAGATCAGTGATCGCACTGGTACAAACATTAAGAACAAAATCAATCCCACAGAAAAAATAATAACAATAATGTAAATTTGTATATATAAAGATTGCAGAAAGGTAAATATGCAACGATAAAACGTAATTATATGCGACAAAATAAAATCTTACGCGTCTTCCAGGTTTATAAGACTTGCAAATGATGAAGGTATTTCTCCTCTAAGTCCTGAATTTGATAAGTATCTGCAACAAAATGTAAGAAATGCTTACAACACTAAATGATCTTTCAAGTACTCCTTTCGTTTTGCAGAAACTATCACTTGACATAATTCATATTAATTAAAATAATAATAAAATTTACTAACGTATTATTTTTTAAGGTACATAATTTAAATAAGAAAATTTATTAATTATTTAAATGAGTGAAAATATGAAAAAAATCATATTGGAAATGTAGAATGACAATCTTTTCAAAACAAAAAAAAAAATACTTAAAATAACATTTTGTGAAAAAGAGAGAGTAGCTAATAAAGTTTTCAAATCTGAACTAATGAACACATAAATACTAAGTACATTCTCACATATTCAGTAGTTTCTTACAATTCCCAATCTCAGCCGGTATAGAACCGGAAAAGTTATTTAGACCAATACCACTGCATGCAGAAAATATATTCAAGATAAGTTTTAATAATAAGGAAGCATTATGATATTTTGTAAGAAGAATGGAGAAGCTTACAGCGATTTCAATTCTTTAAGAAAACCAATTTCCTTGGGAAAGGGGCCTGACAGGGCATTGATCTCAAAAGTTCTACGGTGATTGAGAAATAGGTGAAGCGCGTGAGTGATAAGAAATAGTGATTAAAAAGGAAGAAGAAGAAGATCTCATTCAATCAGCAGCCTTACAGCCATTCCATTCGAACCAATTTTCCAATTGCAAGAGAGAGAGGGCCTGTAAGGAAATTTTGAGCTAGGTTCCTGACAGAGAGAAGCATGTGATCTTGGGGTACAAAGTAAATGAAAAAAGGTAGAAGTCTACAGATTTGTGAGGTATGTCAAAGTCCAGAGCTGGGGAGGTATAGGTCCTACAACATTCATCTTATAAACCTTTCTGTCGAAGTAAATCAAAAGCATAGAGCCTTCAGTGACTGAAATACAGAGGCAAAAAGAGAGAAAGAAACGAGAGCTTGTCCTGTACAGGGAGGTGATGCGGCAGATTGTGAAGTTTTGGAAATCGCAGTTGCATTTGATAAGAGGGTTGTAGTCTTTGTCAGCGATGGTGATGTTGTCGTCGATGGCTGCGCCGGAGCAAGGGTCGCCGCTCGTGTTCCATTACTTTAGAGCCCTGATATTCCAAGCCGCGAAGATGGAGTTCAAAGCTTCAGCTGTTGTTTATCACAGAACAGACATCAGTTTAAGCAAAACAAGTTGTTATTAATTATTCAGAGTGTTGAAAAACAGAGCAGAGACCTTCGTCGGGATGAGAAGTGCCTCCGATTTGTTTTTGAGCTCGAACCAGACCGGGGATACAGAAGAGTAACCATACGGTGAGGAACATAGAGTGACCATTGTCATGGAAGGGGGCAGTGGCGGAGGTAGATCTTGTGAAGATATTGTCTCAATACCTCCGCTTGGGCTTTACACAATCAGAAGCCCATACGTTGATTATATATGTTAGTGGGCTTACGGTAGAGTCAATGAGCAAGAGCCCAAGAAGGTGTTCCTTAGGGTTTCGTCAAACCTGTATAAAAGGAAACAGAGGAGAGTTACTTCAGGTACACGTGAAAACAAAGATCAAGTTGCAGAAGAAGGTAACAAGAGATTGTCTTGGTTAAAAGATCGTCTTAGCTTACCTGAGGAGTGTTGCAATCGGATAGGAAGAACTAGGTGCTAGTAGTTCTTGATTAAGCTTCGGTTGTTAGTTGCTTAAAGGTTCATCTCTTGTATTGATCTCCTTATTACTTGAGATAGTGAATTGGAAGCTTAGCTCTTCCCCCAGACGTACCAATTGGGAACTGGGTTAACAAAGCTTGTGTCTTGTCTTTCTTACCTGCAAAACAAACAAAACGTAGTGTATCAAGACAAAGTAATCAAGTTACAGCTAAAGAAATATAGCTGTAGAACAAGGTTTAGGTTAAGTAATCCGCTAATAAACCTAACAAGTGGTATCAGAGCATCAGGCTCAACTAAAGGAAACGGTTTTCAGGCTTCCATTGGCTACTGGTGTCTAAGAATCTAGTCTTGAGTTGTTGGGATTCTCACGGACAAGTTTGAGATCATGAAGAGCTCTAAGATTAAGATTGATGTTGAGAAGTTTGACGGTAAAGGAGACTTCGGCATGTGGAAATTCAAGATGCTTATGCAACTTGAAAATTCAGATCTGGACAGTGTGTTGAATGAGGAGGAATCAAGCTCCTTGGCTGCTAAAGAAGTAGATGATGAACCCGACTCTAAGCCGGGTGATAAAACAAAAGTTCTTACTAAGAAGGAGAAGGACAAACGGGCTAAGAACATGATATGTGCTAGCCTAAGTAACTTGGTTTTACGGAAGGTAATGAAGCAGACTACTACCTTAGGAGTCTGGAAAGCACTTGAGAAGGATTATCAAACAAAAACCCTACCAAACAGAATCTACTTAAAGCAAAGATTTGCAAGCTTCAGAATGGATGAGCATCGAAGTGTAGAAGAAAATCTGGATGTATTCTTGAGGTTAGTAGATGATTTGGAGAGTCTAAATATCACGGTGAGTGATGAAGATCAGGCTATACAAGTTTTGTCAAGCCTATCTAAACAGTTTGATTCTCTAGTACATACTCTCAAGTATGGCAATGGCAAGGAAACTCTAACTCTACAAGAAGTTACTACATCAGCTTATGCTAAAGAAGTAGAGTTAAAGGAAGCTGGACTTATTGGAAAGACACGTACAAATGCTGAAGGATTAGTAGTTGGCAGAGGGAGAACTGAAAATAAAACTTCTAATCAATGGAAAGGGAGATCAAAGAGCAAAGGTAACAGGTCTAAATCTAGACCTAGGGGACCAGGTAAACCCAGAGAGTGCTGGACGTGTGGCAAAGAAGGTCATTACAAGAAAGACTGTCCAGACAAGAAGAATTGGAAAGGTAATGACGCGGCTAATGTAGCTCAAGACAGAGAGCAACCTATGATTCTTACTGCAAGCACTCAAGATCCAATGAGAAAGTGGGTTCTGGACTCTGGATGTACGTTCCACATAACTCCAGAAAGGGATGTCCTATTTGACTTCAAGGAGATAGATGGAGGCAAAGTGCTAATGGGAAATAACACCCAGTGTGAGGTAAAGGGCATTGGGAAGATTAAGATCATGAATGATGATGGAGTTCCAATTATTCTAAATGACGTAAGATATATGCCAGCAATGGGTAGAAATCTTATTTCATATGGCCAACTAGAGAAGAGTGGATGCAAATACGAAGGAGTAAATTTTTCTATCACTTTCTACAGAGATGGAAAGAAGGTGTTAGCTGGAAAATATCAAGATGGGTTATATTATCTACAAGGAACTGTCATTGAAGGTGAAGTAGCAGTGGTTAGAACTGAAACGAACTTAACAAATCGATGGCATTCCAGGTTAGGTCACATGAGTTTGAAGAACATGAACCTACTGGTAAAAGGCGGTTACTTGAATTCTAAAGAGGTGCACACTTTGGATTTCTGTGAACGATGTGTCTTCGGTAAAGCTCACAAGCAAAGTTTTCCAGAGGGCAGACATATCTCTAAAGAAAAGTTGGAATATATTCATAGTGATCTATGGGGCTCTGTTACTAACGAGGCAAGTCTTTCAGGATGCAGGTACTTTCTTACATTCATTGATGATTTTTCTAGGAAGGTCTGGATCAGATTTCTGAAGAGCAAAGATGAAGTGTATGAAAATTTCTTGGAATGGAAGACTCTTGTAGAAAATATTACTAAGAAGAAGATTAAGTATCTTCGAACGGATAATGGTCTTGAGTTCTGTAATGTCAAGATGGATAAGTTATGCAGTGATGCAGGGATTAATAGACACAAAACGTGTACTTACACTCCCCAACAGAATGGGGTTGCGGAGAGGATGAATAGAACTATAGCTGAAAAGATTCGGTGCATGTTGTCAGAATCTGGTCTAGAAAAAACGTTTTGGGCAGAAGCAGCTTGTACTGCGGTTTATCTCATTAATCGTTCTCCAAATGCATCACTGAAGTTCAAGATTCCAGAGGAGATTTGGACAGGGTCGAAGATTGATTATAGCCACTTAAGACGGTTTGGATGTGTGGCTTATGTTCACATAACTCAAGACAAGATGAGCCCTAGAGCCATAAAAGGGGTTTTCTTAGGATATCCTCAAGGTGTTAAAGGATATAGAGTATGGATACCAGAAGAAGGAAAGTGCTCTAACAGCAGAAATGTTGTATTCGACGAGGAGAGGATTTATGACTTCTCAGAGAAAGAAGTACAAGAACCTAAGAAAACTAAGAAAGTGACATTTAGAACAGAGCTGATAGAAGGACCTTCTTCTCATGAAACCTCTAGCCAAGGAGGAGCTGTTAACAATAATAATGAGTCTACTGGTCAAGGTGGAGTTAACTCAGAACATGGAAGCTCAGAGTCCTCAAGTGAATCCGATAAGGATGGAGAACCCGAGGAAGACAATACACTAAATTTAGAAAATTATGTGTTGGCTAGAGACAGAGAACGAAGAATAATACGACCACCCTCCAGGTACGAAGATGGAGACTCAGTCATTGCTTACGCTCTTGCTTGCGCAGCAAGCATTGAATTGGATGAACCCAAAACTGTTGCAGAGGCAAAACGAAGCAAAGACTGGAGTAAATGGAAAGGAGCTATGGTAGAGGAAAAAGCATCCCTGGATAAGAACGATACTTTTGAGTTGGTTCCAAGACCAGAAAAGAAAAAGATTATAGGGTACAAATGGGTATATAAATATAAAGAAGGAATTCCAGGGATAGAAGATCCAAGATTCAAAGCACAACTAGTGGCAAAAGGTTATACTCAAGTTGAGGGAATAGATTACAATGAGGTATTTGCGCCTGTGGTTAAACATGTGTCAATAAGACTCATGCTGTCTATTGTGGTTAACTACGACTTGGAATTGGAGCAACTAGATGTTAAAAACGGCATTTCTACACGGAGTTCTGGATGAGATTATTTATATGGATCAGCCTGAAGAGTTTGTGGAAAAAGGAAAAGAAAATATGGTCTGTCTTCTTAAGAAATCACTATATGGACTTAAACAATCCCCAAGACAGTGGAATCAGAAGTTTAATGAATTCATGAAGTCACAAGGGTTTAAACGATGCACTAAGGATCCATGTGTATTTACAAAAGGGAAGACCGTAGGAGATATGATCTACTTGTTACTCTACGTCGATGATATGCTTGTCGCGTCTAAAGACATTGAGAAGATAAAGGTGTTGAAGAAGAGTTTGAATGAAATGTTCGAGATGAAAGATCTTGGACCAGCTTCGAGAATTTTAGGGATGGATATCTTAAGAGATAGGAAAAGTGGGACACTAAAACTATCTCAGGAAAGATACATCAAACAAGTTCTGAGAACGTTCAACATGGAAGAAAGTAAAGCAGTCATAACTCCTAGTAACTCTCTGTTTAAGCTAAGAAATTTAAAACCGGAAGAGGTAGAAACAGAGAGAAGAAGAATGGATACAGTTCCCTATGCAAGTGCAGTAGGGAGCATAATGTATGCCATGGTTGGGTCTCGACCAGATTTAGGATATGCCGTGGGGTTAGTGAGTAGATACATGGCAAATCCAGGAAGAGATCACTGGGAGGCTGTTAAATGGGTTCTAAGATATCTTAAAGGATCTTCTAGCATATGTCTAACATTCACAAAATCAGAGAAATTTGATATAGAAGGATTTTCAGATTCAGACTATTCTACAGATTTAGACAGAAGAAGATCAGTTTCAGCTTATGTGTTTAAGGTTGGAGGTAATACGGTTAG